ACAATGAAATAATTCATGTTGACCATTTCATCTCCCGAAACGAGTCAAATGAAATCTAATTTTTCGAATTAATTATAATTAACTAAGAAACATTCAATTGATAATAGTAATTGAAAAAGGGGCACAAAAAAGCGAAAGCGAACAAAAATCATAAAGTAAATGCGAGAGTTATAAAAGAGACAAATATATTTTTTGGCTTTCTCAATCGGTGTCCGGTATCCGCATTGGAGCCCGACTATATCCGAATTCGCGCCGCGTAAGGCACCATTCGGGGAGAACCGCTCCCTACCAAGAATTTTTCCATACCCAAGACTCAAACCCGAAAGCTTTGATTAAGGAAAAAGCAGCCCCATCCGCTGCACCACATACGTCGTTGGTAAGAGACAAATATACAATATCATATTCTTGTGATATAATCAGTGTAATATACAAAGAATAATGTAGCAAAAGTCTTGGTTTATTTTCTCAACTAAACCAAGGTACAAACTTGTAACATGCATAAGCAAAGGGAATGGAACTATAGATTCAAATCAAACTGCAATCCATTACTCTGTCTTTGGCTTCAAATTTTGCCAATTCAGATTGCTAAGGTATTGTTTCTTCACAAAAGGCCATTCAATCCAGGGGAGGAGCTAGCCCTTCCGATACGGGTTCGGCTGAACCCAATAATTTTTGTCCAAACTCTATATTTGTCTTATAAATTTATTGAATTATGCATAAATTATTACTCCCTCCGTTCCAGTTTATGTGACCCTATTTCCTTTTTGGTCCGTTCCAAAAAGAATGAACCCTTTTTAAATTTGGAGACAATTTAGCTTAAATTCCCAATTCTACCCTTAGTAAGAAACTTTTATAACCACACAAATAGAGTGGACCCCTTATTGAGTTGTTTAAGACCAAAAATTTCAAAAGTCTTCATTTTTTCTTAAACTCCGTGCCCAGTCAAACAGGTTCACATAAATTGGAACAGAGGGAGTAATTTAGAACCCAGTAACTTAAAAGAATTAGAATACTGAACCCACAAGTTTCAAATTCTGGCCCCGCCTCTGATTCAATCAGGAAAGATGCAGCAGCAAAGGAAATATACAAGTTACCCATAGCTGATAACAGAGGCGGGGCTAGAATTTGAAAGTTAATGGTTCGAGATTCTTATCCTTTTAAGTTACCTAAATTAATATTTTCTACATTTTCAATGAATTTCTTAAGACAAATACAGAGTTTGGACCAAAATTATTGCGTTTGGCCGAACCCATAACGTTAACACTAGCTCCGCCGCTGGCCGGTAACAGTCATTGAACCAGAATTTACAAAGGGAATCAAGATATAGAGAAAGTAAATATACGGAATTCAACATAGAAATTACATATGCATTACCCTACACAGTGTATTTTTATGGGAATAACATATATTACGAGCTAATAAGTGATGGTGAAAGAAAGGGGTTAATTTCACTGATGGTCACTCAACTATGTTTAAATTTCACTAAAGTCACTCAACTATTTTTCGTCACTTAAAAGTAACTACACTTTCACATCATACCCACTTTAGATCCATTTCTCCCTTAATGTGATTTGACCCATAACCCAAATGCTTTTAATAAAAAAAAAGTTAAATTTCACATTAGTTTAAAATGATTATCCTATACTATAAAATTCTTGCTTTTTCTGTTACATAATGCCCATTTATAATTATTCTATACTAAAAAGATTATTATCTTGTTTGTATGCCCCATCCGAGTCGTTTTATAACTCTACTGAAGTTACTAATGCATCCAACTCACATAACATATTAATAATTTTCTAGTAAAATTAAAATAGTATTGTATTCATCTTACATAACATATTAATGTATCATAAGCTTACGAGAATAATAATAAGGCTAATAAGAGTCTATTTTCACAATGAACATGCAATTATAGACAACCTATTGCAATTCTTTAGACAAAAGAAATATTGTATTTGTACGATAAAAACCCCACAAAAAAATCACAAGACCTAATTTTATTAGGGGTGGGTGTTTCTCCCCTATTGAAACCCATTTGGGTTATGGGTCAAATCACATTAAGGGAGAAATGGATCTAAAGTGGGTATAGTCCATTTAAGCTTATGTGGCATTTATTTTTATATTTTTCTCATTAAATTTTATGCCATGTCATATTTATGTTAGGGGTTTGAGCTAAAATGACTTTTAAGTGACAAAAAATAGTCGAGTGACTTTAGTGAAATTGAAATATAGTCGACTGACCATCAGTGAAATTAACCCTGAAAGAAAGGGAAAAAAACAAATGCACTAAATAGGCAGAGATCCAAATGATTCAGAATCAAACCTCCATTAAGTGAAAATAGATGAGGCTTAAGTTTGCTTGACCCTATCAGAAGAATGAAAAACAATTCTCCAACCTCTATGCTACATAGTCCCATTCTACCAGAAAAGTTAAAACTCATTTTCATCAAATCATTACCTATCGGAAACAGCCTCTCTGCCCTATCGGGGTAGGGGTAAGGTCTGCGTACACATTACCCTCCCCAGACCCCACTGTGTGGGATTTTACTGGGTAAGGCTTGAAAGTTGAATCGAATCGAACCTCTCTCCTACTTATAGGGATAAGTTGCGCAGAAATCGAAGAGTCATGATTCAAAACGTGCGCGGGAAACCAAAATGTCACATCATCCTCTGAACCGCCTCGGGGGCAAATATAATAATGACGCATACAGGCGATGACGTCATTCCAAAAAAGAAGCCACGCGTCAGTGGCTCAACAACGTCATATATTTCACCTCATTCATATTGCCGCCCCTGGTCGAGGTCAAATTCTCCTAAGCCGAGGTTCGCATTTCAGCCCATCGAAGACGCCCACCGAATGCATCTCCAACGAGCGGAGGGACTAACTGTATGGGGTCAAATTTGACCGTCAGCATCTCTACGCCAGAGGGTACGCCCAGTGAGTGTACGCCGACTAACGTAGTGGGTACGACTCGGACGCGGGGACAAAAGCGACATCGTTTAGGACTCAGTGTCTTCACTAGGGAGACGTTACCTGTCTTTGTAACTTTTTGATTCTTTCGAGGAAGGTCTCTTATTATATAAAGGAGACCTTCACATTGTAAGGGAGGGGGGGGGGGGGGGACACTAATATAATACAACTCTCTCATTTTCTGGCTTTCTCTCTCTATCTCTACCTCAAACGAACATATTCTATTGAGTTCATATTATCACTTTGCAATATTAGATCTACAACAATAACATCATCTTTGCATCTCTAGGTTTATTATATCTGATTACGATTTACCCTTTTCTTACTTTTGATTGTTTTCTAGCTTACAAAGTATATTGTTAACTTTTGAGCCAAACAACAAATATATTTTTTGCCTTTCCCACTCGGTGTCCGGTACCCGCATTGGAGCCCGACTATATCCGAATTCACGCCGCGTAAGGCACCATTCGGGGAGAAGCGCTCCCTACCAAGAATTTTTCCATACCTAAGGTTCAGACCCGAAAACTTTGATTAAGGGAAGAGTAGCTCCATCATTCAAATCAAACTGCAATCGATTACTCTGTCTTTGGCTTCAAATTTTGCCAATTCAGATTACTAAGGTATTGTTTCTTCACAAAAGGTGCTCTCCTGACAAGGCATTCAATCACGAAAGATGCAGCAGCAAAGGAAATATACAAGTTACCCATAGCTGATAACAGAGGCGGGGCTAGAATTTAAAAGTTAATGGTTTGAGATTCTTATCCTTTTAAGTTACCTAAATTAATATTTTGTACATTTTTAATGAATTTTTTAAGACAAATACAGAGTTTGAACCAAAGTTATTGCGTTTGGCCGAATCCGTAACGTTAACACTAGCTCCGCCCCTGGCCGGTAACAGTCATTGAGCCAGAATTTACAAAGGGAATCAAGATATAAAGAAAGTAAATATACGGAATTCAACAAATAAATTACATATGCACTACCCTACACAGTGTATTTTTATGGGAATAACATATATTACGAGCTAATAAGTGATAGTGAAAGAAAAGGGTTAATTTCACTGATGGTCACTTAATTATGTTTTAATTTCACTAAAGTCACTCAACTATTTTTCGTCACGTAAAAGTAACTACACTTTCACATTGTCACTTAAAAGTCATTTTGGCTCAAACCCCTAACATAAATATAACATGGCATAAAATTTAATGAGAAAAAATTCAAAAATAAATGTCACATAAGCTTAAACGGATCATACCCACTTTAGATCCATTTCTCCCTTAATGTGATTTGACCCATAACCCAAATGCTTTTAAAAAAAAAAAAAATTAAATTTCACATTAGTTTAAAATGATTATCCTATACTATAAAATTCTTGCCTTTTCTGTTACATAATGCCCATTTATAATTATTCTATACGAAAAAAAATTCTTATCTTGTTTGTATGCCCCATCCGAGTCGTTTTATAACTCTACTGAAGTTACTAATGCATCCAACTCACATAACATATTAATAATTTTCTAGTAAAATTAAAATAGTATCGTATTCATCTTACATAACATATTAATGTATCATAAGCTTGCGAGAATAATAATAAGGCTAATAAGAGTATTTTCACAATGAACATGCAATTATAGACAATCTATTGCAATTGTTTAGACAAAAGAAATATTGTATTTGTACGATAAAAACCCCACAAAAAAATCACAAGACCTAATTTTATTAGGGGTGGGTGTTTCTCCCCTATTGAAACCCATATTGGGTTATGGGTCAAATCACATTAAGGGAGAAATGGATCTAAAGTGGGTATAGTCCATTTAAGCTTATGTGGCATTTATTTTTGGATTTTTCTCATTAAATTTTATGCCATGTCATATTTATGCTAGGGGTTTGAGCTAAAATGACTTTTAAGTGACAAAAGATAGTTGAGTGACTTTAGTGAAATTGAAATATAGTTGAGTGACCATCAGTGAAATTAACCCTGAAAGAAAGGAAAAAAACAAATGCACTAAATAGGCAGAGATCTAAATGATTCAGAATCAAACCTCCATTAAGTGAAAATAAATGAGGCTTAAGTTTGCTTTACCCTATTAGAAGAATGAAAAACAATTCTCTAACCTCTATGCTACATAGTCCCATTCCACCGGAAAAGTTGAAACTCATTTTCATCAAATCTATCGGAAACAGCCTCTCTGCCCTAACGGGGTAGGGGTAAGGTCTGCGTACACATTACCCTCCCCAGACCCCACTGTATGAAATTTTACTGGGTAGTTATTGTTGTTGCATTACCTATAATATAGGTGCACACAAATATGTGCATAAATTTAGCACTATAATTTACAAGATGGAAACACTTTTTCATCACCCTATAACCTATAACTTGTCTCACTATTAATTATTGGTAATTTGAAGAGTAATGTTGAACTAATGTTCAGACACCATATAAAGAGAGTAATTCACTTTCTAAATAAATGAAACATTCAAACAGCCAATGCTTCAGGAATTCTGCCATTTTCAGCTGAAGCTAAACTATCATAGTATTCCACCAAAACCTTCCAACCACCTGGGCACATAAATCCATCTGGAGGACTCTCCTTGTTCTTTGCAAGCGCTCGCATCTGGAAAAAAAAACACATTAATTGCGCTATATTGACCGGCAGACAGCAGCACCAGAGGCGGATTCAGGATTTAAACTATATTGGTTCAACCTTTAAGGTTCTTAGTGATGAACCTGTTATATCTTTAAGGTTATACGTTCATAGTTACTATTTATTGTAATGTTACTGGATTTTTATGCGTAACTAAAAGTACTGGATTCAGATGAACCCGGTACCCGTATGCTACATCCGCCCCTGATCAACAAAATAAGTGATGTAGCACGGGGCGTGGAATGAGGTAGAACGCTGAAAGCCAATGGAGAGATAGATATACCTTGGTGCCTGAAATGAAGATAAAATCATGAGGCCTAGAGGGATCAAAGAAAGCCATTTTATTCTGAGTCTTGTCATACGCAGCCACCTACAAGAAAATGTAGGATTCACATTAAAGATTGAAAATTAAAAAGGAAAGACGTGTTAGAATATAACCACGATTAATTGTTGTCGTACCCTGAAAGGCAAGATATTCAGCCGTTCTAGTCCCGGGGCCATACTGAGCACCTTCTTGCCATGATCTGCGTCATACAGATCTCTCTTCTCTAATGGATGACCCATACCAGCTGGATCTCGTCCCACGATATAGAAGTTAGCACCTGCATTGATCCGAGCCTTTGCGTGCCATTGCACCTCGGTTGGACCAGCGTAGTGCATAGGAGATGGGAATATAGAAACAACAGTTGTCTCTGGATCAAGAACCCCATCTTCAAGTACCTGAGAAGAGTTTCCAGTCACGTATTCAGTTAGAAAGCAACACCATTACCACTATATGACTCAAATAAAGCGAATCAAATTTTATTCACACAAGAAAAAGGGCAACCCCGTGTTCACGCAAGGTCCGAGGAAGGGCCATACCCCAAGGGGTGTGATATAGACAGTCTACCTTAATGCAAGCATTAGTCGCTGATTCCACGACTCGAACCCGTGACCTATAGGTCATACGGAGACAACTTTACCGTTGCTCCAAGGTACCTTCCATAATTTACACAAGAATAGACACTTAAAAAGCGAGCAGATGTCAGCAAGAAATTTTATCGAAAAGGATTGTGGAAGCTTTGTTGGTTGAATGGGGTAAGGGAATCAAGTAGTGTAGCGTTTCATCGCTTTATTTTACTGCCAAAAACAGAAGGTAAATAGAAATACACTATTTAAGCAAAAGTTACTGGCTCGGCCAAGCCCGTATTCGGGCTTCTAGCCCCTATAGACGCTTGGCCGGTTAAAGGGGAAGGCCAATCAAGTAGCGTAGCATTTCATTGCTTTAATTTTACTGCGAAGAAACAGAAAACCACAGGCTGAGTAAACAAAAGCACAAACCTTCTCATGTTGCTTCATTCTCCAATGAAGAGGAACATCATCTGCCTTTGTAAAACCTCCAAGAGGATGAAGCAAAAGGACAGGATTCTTATATCCCATTTCAAGAAGTCGTCGACGTGTATCAGTCATCAATAATGCATGGCCATTATGCACAGGATTTCTCAGTTGAAAAGCAAAAACTGCATCTGCATTACGCCTTGTAAATTCATCACGAAGTTCAGCAGGTGAAAGCCGGAACCTGTCAAGACCATCATTGTACTTGATCGGTTCTATAACTTCCAAATCGCCACCAATTAGCCAGTTTCCAGCGTGAGTTATAGCTTCCTCTGCATAAGGAAGTCCCGGGGCAGTAGTTCCCCATGTTCGTGCTATCCGTTCTTCTTTGTTATGCTTGTAAATCTCGATACTACAATTACCAAATTAACACGCAAAGACATTACACGTAAGAAAGACATGACATCAGCACATGTGAATCCAGGATTTAAACTCAATGGTAAACGAAGTGCAGAATTTTAGTCTGATTAATATTTTTTTTATAAGGATTAGTCTGAACAATATCTAAGATACATTCCAAAATGTAAAAATATTCATTGAGTATATCACAGAGTAAGTTACTCCCTTTTAGCAATTTCAGTTACTACATCTACTAAAAAGACTATTACAGATATTGGATTCAGGAAAAATAATTCATATATAGAAAAATATTTTACAGTAATTAATATTCCCCTGTAAGCACACATGACAGTGCATAAAATATTTTACAAGATTCAGTTGCATAATACTCTTTAAGTAATTTGACTATATTATTGATGGTTAACAGCCGACCCCGTGCCATTGACATAGGCATGCCACGACCGACCTCGTGCCATGGTGGCCTGCCACGGCCAACCTCGTGCCATTGACATAGGCATGCCACGGCCTACCTCGTGCCATAGTGGCTTGCCGCATCCAACCTCGTGCCATTGACATGGGCATACCACGGTTGACCTCGTGCACGTCAATGTTGAAAGGGAAATTTATGAAATATCGACACATTCGGATTTTGGTGCTTGTGATATCTACTTAAGAACATCTAACCTTCAATTAAATGAAAAATCCACTTTTGATCCTTTTGCTTGTGAATCTTCACAAATTTTTAACAAATTATTAACTGTTCAAACCATTTAATTACCTACCCGCTTCATTTCACTTTATGCGGCAAAGTTTGAATAGACACGAAGTGAAAGAAAAAAAGAGACTTTTTAAACTTGTAGTCTTAAATATGTCATTACATTAATGTGATTACAAAAACTTCTCATTAAAGGTAAAATATGAAGTTTAAGCTAAATTACTTCCAAATTTAGAAATTTGTCATTCTTTTTGGAACAAACTTGAAATGAAATTTTGCCACATATCCAGGAATCCAAAAACTATGTGTTATGTTAAATTTGTAAGATAATCCAAATATCACATATTTCAGGACCAAAATGTACTCTCTTTATCCAATTTATATGACATTGTTCCGCTTTTTGAGGTTCAAACTTTTTAATTTTGACCATATATTTGGACATAGAATCTTCAAGTTTTTCAAAATAAATTTATATATTTGAAAACTACGTAAAAAGTATTATAAGCCAGAATAGTTAATAACTCAAAATAATTAAAAGATGTATGAAAATTTTGCGTCAAACAATAACTCGTTTGACTCTCGAAATCCAAATATCATTGCATAAATTAGGACGGCGGGAGTACATTTTAATTAATTCAAAGTTAAAATTGCTTAGCCAAATATCACAAGGACTAAAATCATAATTTAGTGGTAAATAAGGGACCAAAGCCAAATATCACAAGGACTAAAATCATAATTTACTGGTAAATAAGAGACCAAAAGTGGTACAGAAATAAAAATAAAATGATGTCAAAATTAAATTAAAGATTTCAATAACACAGAAAAATTTACTTACTCGTTTAATATAGCAATGGGTTTATTTTTGTCATCAACAAGGGTCACACTACTGGACCCACCAATTTGATCTTTCTGAAAATCATCAATAGCTAACACAATTGGAACCGACATGTTAACAACCGACCCGTTTTCAAGTCGGGTCGAATTAAAATGAAGAGTTTGGAGGAACTCGGATTCTCTCATAAATCCTTTTAATGGGCTGGCCCAACCTTCACTTAACACATGAACCCATTGAATATCGATTTTTGAGAGCTTGATTTGGGCCAATGATAAAGCCCGATTAGTTATTTGGGCTTTTTGGGATTCTTCGACGATGAGATTCACTAGTTTCCCGCCGTCTGGTTCTATCAACCCGCAGCGAATTCGGGCCCGGGCTTGTTGTCCGGGCCTGAATTTGCGGGATGAGAGAGGAAGATTGAGAGGTGTGGAGAAATGGGTTTTGTGGGTTTTAGGTAAAGGTTGAGTTGGGGTTGGAGTTTTGAGAAAAAGAGAGCTTATGGTCGCCATTAATGGAGTTGCAGAGAGTAATTCTTTCTTCTTCTTTTTTCTCTATTTTCTCTCTTTGGACATAATAAAAGTTGGTGTGGTTTTTATAGGGTGATTAAATATTTTTTTGGGTATTTTTATGGAAATTAAAATATTTGATTTCCTTTTGACTGATATATGTCAGCAAAGTCGAAAGACAAAGATTCTATACTTTGGACAACTTTTTTTTAAAAACAAAAGTTTGGATATTTATAATATTTTTCCAAAAATCTTTTTACTGTTTTGCACCATGAAATTAAATATTGGATTGAGTATTAGTTGTTGTTGTTGCACCATGGGGTCACTTTTTTGTTAAAAAAAATTTTCTGAACAACTTTTCGCTAAAAAATGTAGAAAAAAAAAATAACAAACTATTTCAAAAGATTTTCTTAAAAAATATTTCCAGAAATAAACCCGAAAATGATGTGGAATTTTTGGAAGGATTGATTCCTATAAATATTGAGTGGGTATAAGTCAAGTTTTGGGGTGGGATACGGGAGGATGAACCTAGACATTTTTTTTGGATTATGAGGTCAAATTAATTAATTTTTAAAATAAATTTTCAAGTTTTTTAAAATAAAATTTGTATATACTTCGAAGCTACACAAAATGTACTATACGATACTATAGTTAACAATTTAAAATATTTTTTAAATATTTGGAAAAATATGATTACAAAAATCCGCTTTCACTCTCTAAATAGTTATTGTGTCACATAAAGTCAAATAAAACTGTCTTCTACTGTGAACTTTAATGTAGATTAATCTTCATTTATTGCTTCGGACAACTTTCAATTGAAAAACTTCTACTATAGATAAATATTTTGAAATTTAAGCAAGGAAGTAATTATTATTATGAATCATGGAATATCACACTACAAAACTCTAATCCCTTTGCTTGTACTCTTAAAATATAATTTCTCTTGAATACTTATTCTATTTATGTGTTATCTTCATTTTCAAGAATAATTATTACTAAGGGTAAAAAAAGGAGGGAAAAAAACAATCAATTTTGTCTTGAACTTCTAAAATGACAAATAATTTGAGATAACTATTTTTAGTAAACATGACGGTTGATATGAGACGGGGAGTACTTTGCTACTTTCCAGGAACCCTCTATTTTTAGTAAAATTTTTTAGTTTGAATTCAGACTTGCACAAACAACTATTTATATGTTAAAGTAATACTACAATAATTTAAGCATGCACTTTATCTCTTTCCAATGAATGAACCATTCCCATTTTAAGGCCAAATTCCAAGTGGAATGAAAAAGAAACTTTTCTTCTTCACTATGTTAGACACTTATTGTCACTATTTTTCCAAATTCAATTGGCCGACCGATCGAGCTAGTCAAAGGCCATATGAACTTTCCATCCGAGGCTCGGGGAAAATTTTATTTTGTGTTTCAACTGACACTAGTTGTATGAGGCATCTTTTTTGTCTTACAGTTTTGTGAATCTAGATTTTTGTGGACCCAAAAATGTAAGATTGGGGTCCACAAATTTGTGAGACAAAAAGGAGCCTCACACAACTAATATAAGTTGTGTGAGACACACAATAAAACTTCTCGAGGTTCGGTATTTGTATTGATGTCCTTGAATTAGTATCGGAAAACTTTATAGTGAGGTAGAATGTTTTCTAACAAAGGAGCTATTCACTATTCAGGGGCGGATCCAATAGTTTCGTTATGAGTTCAATTGAACTCATACTTTTATTCTAGACCTGAATTTTTAGTATAAAATTCACTATATTGTTTTAAAAAATTAAGCTATGAATTCGTAACTCAAACAAGGTGATAGGTTCAGTAGTTAAAATTGAAATTTTAAACCCATATAACTAAAATTCTAGATTTGCCTCCGGCACCATTATACTCAGAACTCGAACCTAAAACCTGTGATAAACATGAAGAGTAATTGTCACTCTCCGCAAACTTTGTTTGTAAAGTCCATCTGAATCAATTCATCATATTTTTAATGTTTGGTTGTATCTTACATGAGCACGTACGCAATTCCTCATGGTCGGAGAATATAATATACTGTACCAAATATGTTTCTTTCTTTTCGTTTGTTCCTTAGCGTATCTCATGAGAATCCCTTAGTGTAGTTATGTAATAGCACTATAGCAGGTTAATTATTATTTTTATCATGTAAGAAACTAGTATAATTTAGCATAGAAATTTACTTAACCTCATAAATGTCATAACTTTGTACATATTTTTACTGCCCCTAATGTCCCTGACACATGGCAAGTTCAAAAACAAATAACCCACCCCGGATTTTAATACCCGAAAACCCACCCCTTATTTTGTTCAATCTATTCAATAGGACTAACTGTAAAAACAGTAACTTTTAATTACTCAAATAGAACATAAACCAATGTTAGACATTTCATCCAAACTCCAAAGTACTACTACAGTTAAGTACATCGATCATATTGAGAAACTTGATCTGTACGAATGCCGGAGTGAATCTTTTGACGACAATAACGACCCAGTAAAATCTCACTAGTGGGGGAGTGAATCTTTTGAAATAACTCAAAATTAGTTTACCAATGATACATTGCGTTCAACTGCAACTGCTTACAAGGCTATTTAAGTACCTCTAGGACGGAGCGGAAAAAGGCCGTGGAGCTTCATACAATTTATCAGACCCGATTATAACCGATGGATTTACTGAACAGGCTTCGAATGTACAGAACTTGCAGTCCACTTGCTACTATAAGTAGAACATACTCTGCGACAGTGTAAAATAAAACACGCTTGCTTGTGCTCTCATTAGCTGCACCAGAAAACATGCACATCAGTGGAACAGTTTTAGCAGATAAATGCCTCAAAGCTCTGATCATGACCAAAAAAATGCAAACAGAAAGCTACAACAAGACTTTCCATCAATCATAAGAAGAAAGGAGAATAGCTAAAGAAAAGATGAAAAGAAGCAATGGCAACAAGTAGTAACCACAACAAGATAACAAGAAGACCGAAGCCAAGATAGCAGCAATCTACGAATAAAAACGTATCATACTTAGTAATGCTATCGAACTGGGGAAGATAAAGGAAAACACTCGATTACCTACTGAACTTCTACCCTAATTCTCGACCTCCACATCCTTATATCAAGGGTCATGTCTCCAGTAAGCTTTAGTTGCGCCATGTCCCGCCTAATCACCTCTCCCCAAGACTTCTAATCACCTCTCCGGGTCTCCCCAAGACTTCTGGCCTACCTCTACTGCTCCTCATACCCACCACCAAGGGTAACCTCTCACACCTCCTAACTTGGGCATTTGTGCTTGTGTTCTTAACATACCCGAACCATCTCAGCCTCGCCTCCTACATCTTATCCTCTATGGGAGCCATTCCCACCTTATCCCGAATAACTTTATTCCTAATCTTTTCTAATAAAGCTAATAGGTTGCTGAACTCATAATGATTGCCACAACCATTAGATGTTACTGTGTTAAGAACATGTCATGTCTCATTAAGAAAGTTCTTGGCATAAATGTCCACACCTGGTCAATGGCTGTCGTGAACATTTTCTGAAGTAACCATTACTTGGTTTAAACGCAAAAGAAAAAGTTACCTAAGTCGAGAAATATATCATTAGAAAGCAAATCTACCAACAACAACAACATGTCCAGTATATTCCCACATGTGGGAAAGCAAATCTACCAATGACAACAAAAACAAAAACCTGGAACATTATGCATCTTCAGAATTAGAAAACAATTAAGCTTTTATTGAGGAAAAGATTGGCGACTAACTATGACGATGACGAGCATCACGTGCTCTCAAGTATTTCTGCTCTGCTGTAACTGACTCCAATGCCTCCCCTAGTTCAGCAATTTTGACATTGATGGGGTCCAAATGTTCTGCAAAAAGGTCAGTATAGATTATATCTAGAAACAGGAATCGACAAACACAATATATAACATGCTTAACCGCTAATCCTGGCCATTAAAGAGCAATACTATAGCAAAAAGGACAAACCATCTTTGGCTAGGTCATGTTCATTGGGAATGTGTCCAACATGTATGTAGAATGAGACTGTCTCTGGCGTTGAATGTGGATTATGAAAACAGAACTTGAACATCCCACTCCTTGGGGCCTTCAACTCAAATTTATCCTCTGCTGTTCCCTTCATGGTATGCACGACATTTCCTGCAGGCGATGTCACCTGCACGAGTGAAAAAGTTCACCTAAAAGGCAGACAACTTGGCTAGCTCTCTCTTTTTTTCTAAGTAGCCACAGAGAGAGCGGAATCAACAGAAAAAAAGTACTTTGTGTTCTGTTTATGTAAATTATTTTCATTTCTAGCATATCACCAACTTCTTTTTAATTTCACGAGTAAATTTAAGTCAGGCATATTTTTAAGAGTACATCAACCGAGTTTGCCTCATTTATTAAGTCCAATTAGTTGTGTTAGCTAGTTTTTATCATTAGAATCATTTCACATTTAGCAATGAGGCAGAAACTGATTTGACATTAAGAGGTGTTGAATTCCCATGACTTGTCATAAACCAAAAAGACGATCATACTCATATATTCCATCTTCGCCAAGGTAGATCGGAAATTCAAACACCCTTAGTGTTCATCTCCACCAGTCCATAGGTGGACGATATTTTATGAAGAAAGTGGGCATGCGAGTTGAGGACGGATTAAAATGTTGTTATGAACCAAGGGCTGAAAGCATCATATAGGCAAGCTGTTCCAGCCTAATCAACCCATATCTATAGAAATGTATTTACTCAATTCTACCTTTATAGTCTTTTAATTCAAGTATACATGTTATGCATGGATTTATAAGGAAATAGAAATCTATAGCAAAAAATTAGAGTTGCAGGAGTGCACATATGTTCTACAAATGGCGGGTACCATGATCGGCATAGGTACATCAAAAACCAACCCACTGTGAACCGGGGGGGGGGGGGTGGGGGGGGGTATGTATTCGT